CTGGTAAGGAAAGGATTAAATCTGATGGTTCTGCAATGTCCAGCTCATGGGATTAGATATCAAATACAAAGGAAAACAGCCATAACATACCTCTTGAAGACAGTTAGCATTATCATGTAAGGATGAAAATACTTGTTCTTGACCATAAAATACCATGTAAACAGTAGAAGCAGTACATTCTCCTATTTATATCCTAAGATCCTATTTTCCCTGCCTTCAAATTACTGAAAGCATTTTCAGAGGCTTCAGGGGAGACAGGACTGAGTTCTGGTGACTGATACAAAACCTAGTGAAGTCAATAAGATTTTTTTCTTTCGTTTCAGCAGCCTTTTGATTAGACCCTTGGAGAGGACTAGTACTGGAATCTGAAGCTGTAAATTAATCAGACCACATCTGCAAAATCAGTGTGTTCTGTCTAGAAATAGTCGAGTTTGGTACAAAATATTACTCAGAGCCCTTGGGAGGTGAAAACTATATTTTCATCAAATATTATCTTCTTTCTTAAATGGCAGGTTCTCAGCCACAACTAAGGAAATGCCCAAGGAAGCAGGCTAAGGGCATTAGGTATTTCTCAGAAGGAGAAGGCAATGCCAGTGCGCACATATTCAAACACATACTGAGTCAAAATGATGCACTTTTTTCACAAATGGGGTCACTCTTTTACACCTTAAACATCAAGAGAAGCTGAAATTCAGGGCCATAAAGAAAACACTTTCAGTCATTTTTATGTGAATGACATTGTGAACACATAGTATTTTACTTATATCCCGTGTAGACACTGCTCAGCACTGTAAGATATAGGGTTCCAAACATTAAAAGTACTGGACCATCTGGTATTCATCTACCATGAAGTTACTATACTCTACACAACAAAACAGAATTAGTAACATATGACATTAGTGATAGAGATTGTTTCTTAGGCATACAGGAAATATGTTGTCCATTAAGATTAGGCCTTCTGTTAAATTTAAATGTTCAGTGCAATAATTGTCCTGATATGTTATTTTCAGCTGTAAGTTGTCTAGCGCTTCTCATGCTGAAAGACTCATACAAGATACTTGAAAGCATAACCAGCTGCTAGTGGTTTCAGAGAAACAGATGAGGTAAAATGTAATTCAGAAGGTAAGAGCATGATCTGTTAGGCAAAACAAAGACATAGGAAGCAGCATTTATGAATTCTTTTCTTTTTGCCACCAGTGACTTAGCGTGTCACCTGGGGCAAATCTCGTCTGCATCGTACTGTAGCTCCTGTAAATGCAAAATAATATTACCCAAAATGAATCTCTTTAAACTTAATGTTTGTAAAATGTTTTGAGAAATTCATACAAAAAGTACAGTCTGTTATCATATTGTACTATGTTCCTGGGCCATTTATCCCACTTCTGAAATAAATCCTGTTGACGTAAAGGTACATAGAGGGACTGCACTTAGAAATTAGTACAAGAACTCAACTTTTCTGAACATGTTACTTTCCCAAAGGAGTCATGATTTCAGATGTAGGGATAAAAAGGGGATATATGGACAGATAGATGAAATTTGCTCAGGACACCAGGGATAGCCTAATACCTCTGGAATAATAACGCAGAGATATTTAATGATCTCTGAACTTAAACAAAAGACAGCATTTATATAGCACAGAGTATCCCAGAAATGTTTTAAAGCACTGGCTGGGTTTTTGATTCATAGATTAGCACTGCTTAACCAACAACTGCCTTACCCTCAAATTTTCATATCCAAGTACTGATCCTGCCCATTCTTGTTCGTTTTTTCATGAATTCTGATGAGATCTCATCCTCAGATGACATAGCTGTAGGTTGCATAACTCTGCTCAATTTTTTAGACATAGAAGCAGAACACTTAGTATCCTTTGTAATTAAAAACAGATTCAACTGATAATGTTTTATGACAAGCAGAGAGGACGTTTTTGGCATGTGTCCCACAGAGTTACCCATCAGTATTAATATTCTGGAGCACAGCTGTCCGCAAGCTGCCCCTCTTGTCAACTTGTTGCTTAGCTCAAGGCCATAAAATGATTATGTACTTTTTTTTTGCCAATCACTGTGATAAAAATAAATATGTTATTTCTGTGCTTGTCCTACAACTATCTCATGATTGACTTGTTAATTCAGAACAGGAAAATAAACTGAATAAATATTGTCATCTGGTTGTCTGCTTTTGTTTCTCCCTCTAGAGTACTTTTTAAAAGCTTTTCTTTTTGTAGTATTTTATACAACTGAAATATATCAAGGTATTCAGAGGGTAAATGCAGTGATTCTAAGCAAATGAAGGTTTTGGCAACAATTTATTTTCCAGACTTCTAGCAAAGATAATTATGAGGGTTTTTGTTTGGCTGGTTTCCAACTACTTTGTCCAGTTTCTCTATGGATTTTCTTTTTATGAAGAGCTATGTCTAAAGTTCATGAGCTGCCACATTTGTTCAAAGAGCCATTGTTTTGCACTGCAAAGTGTTTCAATCCTACTTTATTGAAACTACCTGTTTTTCTCTCATTTAGACCTTCAGATGCTTGGGTTTGCCTGTGTTCTCAGATGTGCTCTTATCAAATTTGGGGTTTATATTTGAATATTTAGCAATGGGTTTTCTGTTCCAGACTTATGAACAAGCTTCCATAAATCTTCATCCAGAAAAGGTATATTTGGAAGTGAGATTGGGCCTCACAAGAATTTTCAGTGCTTAGCAAGATGGAGTCTATACTCCTTCTATCTCTTTTTTTTTTGTGTGTGTGTGTTTTCCAGATATGTTCAATCCTTTCCTCTTCCACTTGTGCCTTCCTCTGCCTTTCTGTGTCTCCTCCTTTACCTTTCCTTCTTTTTCACTCTCTTTTCAGAGCTTCTTTTTCATATCACTGTTGTTGGCTCAGTTTTTGGAAACAAATTTCTTTTACTTTCCTGCCGTCTCAGCCACAATCTATTGGGTCTCCTTTGTCTAGTGCCCTGGTTAAGAAAGTAGACAATATCCTGACTATTCTCACTCAGTCTCCAGCTGCCCAACAAGCTTTATAAAGCTTCAATGTCCTTATGTACTCTGTTTCTTCTCATCCTACATATCTGGGTCGCAGAATATATTCACAGTCATATCTGCTCACTTCAATTGTAGAAATAAAGTTTTCCGTCATTTTAACTATTAGCCTTAAGCAATCTAAAAGTCAGAGACTGAGCTCGATTCTATTTCTGTTCATGTATCACTGGCAATGTTTATTAAAATTTTGCTAGAGAGAGAGTCAGATATATTAGTGCAGTCCCAATGGCAGTAAAGAAGTTACAGGAATGTACCTAGGTGTAATTTTGCCTGCATATATACATATAGAGAGAGGCAATTATACAGAGGCACTATTTTTCCTAGTGATGCATGCACAAAAAGTGAAGAACCCAATCTGTCTTCTATGCAGGAATGGTAAAAAAAAGTTATACTTACTCTTAAGTACTTTTCCTCTGGAAGACAACCTAAGAAAAAGCTCTTGGAACCTTTCTACATTATTTTTACTTTAAGAATTAAGAGTGTAGTGTAGAAATGCCATTGACTTGCCCAGTCTCAAAGCCCTACCATATAACAACCTCTAATGAAGCTTTCAGACATTTCTTATTTCAAGAATGAGATAGCCTACTAGGAAAGGTGAACCTCTGGTCTCATGTGCTGTTGCAGTTCAGTTGTTGTCACATCTCAGAGCTTTGGTGACATTCCTGATGTGAGAAATTCAACTGTATGTAGAGTATCCGATGGGTCCTTGGGCGTTATAACATACTTATTGGGAAAGGATGGAGTGGACAGAGGTTGAGGCATGTCCAGTACTCTTTTGACAGGTACCAGGAAATTTTTAATGCCTACAAAAATAACTTGACATCATTTTAACCTAAAATGTTATCTTGGTGAAAGGCATCTTTCTACAACTATTCCACTGACTCCAACACTTCAGCACCAAAGCTAGATCTTTTGAGCTCCTCCATCTAATTTGGAACATAAATCTACTAGATCTTGTTAATGGAATGCTGTTGGCAGTGAAAATGACTGGATTATACCTGTGCAGGAGAGATCATATACCAAATGTGAATTATACTTGTTCAGAAGATGCGCTTAGCTTTTTTTCTTGGCTTCCTGGTTCACTTCCTCGGGTCAAAGAATCACCGATATCAGTCATTTTGTCATATTTTGGCTGCTCATTTTTCAGTTTACCTAATAACAAATTGCTCTGGACCTCAGACTTTATTGCACTATTTTAAAGGTGCTTCATTCTGCAAGTGTATCTTATGTAATAACAGAAATTCCCTAGGTTATTTATTAGGAGTAAAACTGTAAAATTCAAAAGTATTTAAGCTTTTTACTGAGGATGTGAGGTAGGACCAAAATGGAGTGCAGTGGCCATCTCTAGTGGTATTGCGTGAACATGATGAGGTACCAGAGGAAAGCTGCATAAGAAATCTACCACCATCTTCCTGAAGAAGAACCCTGGCACTCCCAAGTTTAGATGAAAATAATCACACTCTCACATATTAGAAGCTAAGAGTCTTTTCTGTAATTGCTCTCCAGCTCCTTAATTTTTAGGCTCCCCAAGTAGCTCAGACATGGTCTGTATAGAGCAGGTGTTTATTGATAAAGCACATTTCCTACTAGAAGATCAAAATCTTACTGAAACTTTCTCATGGTATTGCCCAAGTTAATCATTGTTCATAGCTCAAGGACTTCACATTTTCATTGCATTAGCTGTTGGCTCTCACATATCAAGGCCTTGTAATTAAATGCACACATCAGCAGATTAACTGAAACCTTAATTTGGGGGGGGGTTACGTTTTACTTAACAAAGGTTATTAATTTGTTACAACTGCCCATGTTTTTATAGTATTAGAAGTGTGTCAGCCCTACCTGGGTCACTGCTGTTTAGTACCCGTGTGTTTTGATTATCATAAAATGATTGGATATGTTTTGCACCCAGATAGCATTTTCTTTCCAGAATGCGTTAATCATTTTTAATTTTGTATCTCTATAGACGCTTAATGTGACAGATGAAAATTTTGTGATGGAAACACTAGCTGGATGCATAGAATATAAACCCCTATTAGATGTAGTAGTCAATGCCTTCTATGTTCGGGATGGGAAACATTGCCTGTTTTCTGAGCGTAATCTCTATGTGGGTAAGTTTTTTAATGCCTTTTTTAACTTTAAAAAATATTATTTTATTGGTTAAGATGCTAATATTATACTACAGTTGAAGCATTGTCCTGGTGTTTAATGTAGTATGAAATTTAGGACCTTTTCTGGTATGTTTACAATGTAAATCCTAAATCCTGAAATCTGTGTCTAGTCTTGACTCTCAGAGGTGTTAATGGGATACTCCCCGAAGAAAGTTCTGCAGAAGGTTAAGTTAGTCACAATTTACAGATGGAAAAAACAGCAGGGACTAGAAGAAGTATTTTGACAGTTCGGCTGTTAATTCAGAAATATTATTCAGTGGCTTCTCTTTATTCTCTTCTACGCCATTCAGATATGAAGCTGCTGAAGAAAAAGCTGTCTGCTGAGGAAAGAAGGAATACCCTCACAGTATGACCACACTGTTCCTTCTGTCCATGCATAGGTTTCTGTCATGCAACCTTCATTATTGGTCATCACCGTAACATAAGGAGACCTCTGTCTTCCCTCCATGAGCTAGGTCACTTCTCTTCCTTTCACGAGTTAGTTAGAATCAGTTATAATACAACTATACCTGATTGTATGAGCTAGTTAATCAGAGTAATTAGTATTCCCAAGGTTATTTCTGTAGTTGAGAAGCACATCAAAGAAATATTTTTTAAAAAAATTACGTTATGCAGATATGCTGAGCTTAATTTATTAATTTCCTGAAGAAGTTAGAATTCCAAATCATACTGTCATTGGCTCTCGAAGTTGTATATGTTCTGAATTTTTGTGGCCACTTTTAAAAATCTAATCATTTTTATTTTAAGTAGTTCACTTCGAAAGGAAATAGGTGCATTTAATTAACTTTACATTTTGTGTTTTAAAAGTATTAATTTTCACTGAAATGTTAGTTGCTTCTGTCACAGTGCTAGGTCAAATATAAGTCAAATATCAGACTAAGAGGAACCTATTCTACTGTGGATAAAATTAAATTAATACTGAGTTTGTTCTAAATGATAATGCTCCATTGTCTACATTTCTCCAAAGCGATGTTTTTCAGTGTCTGGGACACATAAATTGTACCTTTAAGCTGAGTGTTGCAGCAATTGGATTGTCAGGACCAGTCTGCTTCCAGGCCTCCATTAATCAGAGGCAAAGGGGAGGCCCCCAAAGATTTTCCTTTGTCAACAAGTTGAGAGTCTAAGGTCATTGGCTTAGATTTTTTTTTAAGCTGCTTGTGATTCCCCTTGCCAAGCTTCATTGACACTCAAACGATCAAAGCTGCTTATAAAGGCTGTTGCTATGTGTGAGCAGATTTGAATATAATAAAGCTTGTAGCAGATAAATGTTTATTGCACTGAGACTGCTTAAACATGTTGCTATGCGGGAGCATGAGGCAGAAGTCTCTAACAACACACACCGGCTTGGCTGCAGCATCCTGGTCGGGATTTACTGATCATCGCTGTTTGGGATCTAAAGTACTTCAGTGCAAATGAAGCCTGGTTGACCCCAGTCATTGCAGTTAAAGAAAGGTTTATGCAGCAGCTCCTCAGCTTTACGGACCCATCAGAATCTCACAGCACTGACGGGGGCCTCTTCCTGTATCAAACTCCGTATTTGCTGGAGAGAAGTGTAAGAATCACGTTTTCTATTTCCTGGAGAATTCCGCAATTTAAAAATTTGTTTCTATTCTACCTCAGAGTTTTAAAAATTATAACTTTTTCTGCAAAATGGTTACTTCAGAGCAAATGAAATGCTGGATTTTAATATCATATTTTCCGATAACATTTTTGTTATATGGAACAAGTTGTGATTTGGGAACAGAAGAACTATCCACTCTGAAAATGCTAAAAACAGAATATTAGCATTTTCTTTTACATCCCCTGCTCACATACAGTTTTGTCAGAGTAAGTTTGCTTATACTGAAAATTTTGGTTACATCAAAAGAGCTCTTTCCAAAATCCGAATCCTATCCAAAACTTTCCAGCCCCGTCTCTCAGGGGCTGTCTGACCCCCTTCCTTCCTGCCTTCTTGCCAGGCTAACACCAGAGCTGCCCAGCTATGATAACGCAGGTACTTGCTGTGTAAGCTGCTACCCAAAAAAAGCAGGTGTCTTCTCTCTTCTCTGTGCTCAGTCTGACCCCATTTCCTACCTTCTCTTAGTGTTTAACAGCCACTTGGTGACCTAATCAAGAAGCTGCTTCAGGCTAAAATGCATGATCAGGTTTAACTTGACCGTGTGGATGGTTGTACCTGCCCAAGGAAGTAAGCCAGGAAGGATGGGAACAAACAAGCAGGGTTTGATGGAGCTGCTTGGTTTAGCAGTACGGTTGGCCTGATGAGGTGACTGTGAAACTTGGGAATTTCTGTGCTCCAGGCACTTCCTCCCCACCTTAGCGCAGCCACACTCTGCCGCGGCAGATCTCCCAAGGTTGCAAATAGATTTTTACAGGCTTCAGAAGGCCCGCTGAATCACTTTAGATTAAACAATATTTTTAGATGCCTTTTGTGTAAATGCACAGGTCTTCAGGTATTGTAATTTCCAGGAAATTGTGCAATTAGCTTACATATGACTCAAGAGGCAAATAAGTGATCTGTATGAGCCACACGATAAGGTCACCAGTGCTAATAATGATCGTAAGATCAACATTATAGTTTCTCATTGTCAAGCCTTATACTGCCCAGCTGAATAAACACTATTCAAGACTATTTAAAATTGTAATAATGGTCCAAATCTCAGAGCACAGTGATTAGAAGGTATATGTTTTCCAGAATTTCCTGCTATGTTTTAAATGTATGTATCTTTTGACAGTTATTTGTTATCTGGCCACTTTTCAACTAGAAGAGCTTGGTCTTCAGCACTTCAGCAGAATTGTGAAATCTTTGGATACTGCAAAAATGCATAAGGTAACAAAAGTACCAAACTTGTTTAAAATAATAACCATCTCTTCATTGTTTTTGATTAATCTGATTTTTTTTCAATTCCTAGCATAATTTAATTTGAGAAATTAGTGTCAGATTCTATTTACCTTATAAGAAATTAGTATTCTGCTGTCATAAAAATCTTCTGTGTGCCTAACTCATGTTCAGTCAAAGATCAGGTTAAAATGTATTTTACATTATCTGAGAATTTAAAATTCTTACAGATCATATAATCATGTAATCAAAATTACAGTTTTATCTAATTTACTCATGCTTGGTTCTGCTCATATTCTTCCTTTGACTTTGGGGCAACAGAATAAGCTTTTTCCTTAAGCAATGAATCCATTGAAACCTGTGGTTCCTTCTGATTTGCATTCTCTTTTTTTTTTTTTCCTGAACAGTCCCATACTACTTTGATTATTTGCCCATTTTTGCCATCCATCTCTTTTTCTCCTTCCCAAGAAACATTTGCTAATTTGTAGCTGTGCAAATACCAATTACCCAGTTAAAACATATATGAAATTGGCCAGTCCATTGCTGCTAAAGAGAAAGCACAAGAGCAACATTCTGCCTGCCTTTTTCTCATTCAAATCACTTGTTTGGATTTTTTTTCTCTGTCTGCTAATTTTCTGTAGAAATTGAAATATCTTTGGCTTCACTTTCAAACTGTTTGAAAGTGCTCTTTTTCTCAAAACCTCTGTGTTAGGGATGGGCCGTCAGAGGGCTAAACAGACAGTGTTTTCTCATAAGCCCTGTTTTCTTACAAAAATAGGCTAAAAATGAAATAACTGCTGACATAGAAACTGTAAGCTGGTCATCCAGATGTTTAAAAGTATGTCCAAACACAAGGCTTGAATAACAGCTGTATAGTTTTCTGTGTAAGTGAGATTCAGAAGCTAGGCAAATTTTGGTAATCAGTCCTCAAAAAGCCAAGGTTTATCTTTATACTGATTACTTTGAATGTTCATGTGAATGGCAGAGCCCAGTCCATGAGTGAAATTGCTAGATAGTACCCAGGGAGAAAGAAGGTTAGGTGGTCTGTAAAATGCTTTTAGAAACACTTTATTTTGATGAGCTTACCATGAAATACTCTTGTTAATTCTGCTCAGAGACAAAAATGATACATTTCATTAACTGGCAGAAAAAAAAAAAAAGAGAGAGAGAGAAGTGGCGGGAAAAATTATCCTAATCTGATAGACAGACAAATCACTCTTTGTCTAAAAAGCTCTCCCAGAGCCTTCTCTGATAAACAGCTTAGACACAAGCCACAGGATTGGATGCATCTTGAGCTCCTACGGCCAGCGACACAGTCTTCCCACTCGGTGCTGGTTACCTTGATTCCATTCACCCAGCTTTATGTGGCTTGAGCATCAGTGCACTCACACTTTATTTCAAATAATTTCTCCTTCTTTGCCTGGAATGATTTTTCTTCTGATGGGAAAGTGCAGCATTATGTGATCTTCTGCACCTCCTACTCTTTTCCCGTACATGTAATTTTGCAGAAGTGTCTTCTCAGATCCTCACCACCATCATACCTAAGTTTCCTTTTCTTGCACCAAAAGGGGTTCTTTGTCTCCAAACTGATGCTAGATTATATGAATGCACCTGCAGCAGAGGATTTAGAAGCAGCATTTGGTCCCCCAGCAACAGAGACAAAAACAGCAGAAGGCAGATTTGCAGCCGTAGCAACAGCCTAAAGTTGTTAGAAATCTGAGATGCTCCTTCAGGATACTGACCTGTAGATATCCTCTGATAACTGCTGAATCCAAGCTCAGCTGAGGTGCAAAATAACTATTCACATATATTTATTTGGAATAGATTTACCTTAATTAAAAAAGAAGTGCTTCTGAACATCACACATTGACTGAAATTATCTTAATTCATGGATATAATGAGTAGTCTTCATGAAATTAAGTGGATTATTCACATGAATGAGATCAATTTGTGAGAGCAGATCTTTCTCGTAGAGGACTGCAAGGTGGAATCCACTCTAACCAAAGTCTAAGCGTTTCCCTGTGACTTGTTCATGTTTAAATATTTTCATTTAGGTGGAATATCCAGGCATAAAAATAATACTTGGACAGGAAAAATATGAGATCTCATTTTGTAATGTTAAGAATGCATGCAGGAATTTTTTATGGTTGTGTAAGTACAAAATCAAAGAATATAACACTATTTTTTATCCTCAGCAGGATTGTATCAGTAAGAAACTTAGCTATGCTTTGCTAGTTCAAGTCTATTTTTGCTTTTCATTATTCATGCTTGTTATTTTATTTTTGTGGTAAAACTTCGGTGTTTGCGTGTTAGAGAAAAGATGGTTGAAATAAAAAGTTGAAGAAAACAGCTTTATAATTTCATACTTGTCTTGTATAAAATACAAAATAACTAGTGTTTCCTTTTTAGTTTTCAAGATCCTGTTTTGTTCTGTTTCATATTCTGATTGCTGCTAACAGTAGTGAAATCCTTTGTATATAAAGACCTTTGTGAGTTGCAAATGAAAAGCACACCATAAGAACTGGGAATTATAATTGCTATTTTGATGAAGTAGGAGCAGGCAAGATCAGGCCCCTGGAGGACATGTGGGCAAAAGAAGTCAAAATTGAGGCAAATAATGGCAAAGGCTCCAAAACCCTGCTAGGACACGTTTATTCCATCAAGGATTTTCAAAGCATAATCACCCATTACAATTTCTAGGCAGGAAAGCCTTGTTAAGGGCCCCTGGCCTTCCTCTTCCTCTCTGTGTTGCAGCTGAAGGGTAGAGTAGCACAGGTACTTGAACAGGTAAAGCTGAAGAACTGAACAGGAACTAGGAGGGAAAGAATCAACAAACGAAGGGAGGAGTAAACAGGAACCTCCTCAACTGCCAAATAGCTGTGGGTGTGATCAGGCAAAATTATCTCATTCTTGGATAGTGACTGGTCTGCATGGGGCAACTGGGTCTGCTGCTGCTTTCAGTTATTTCCTGAACTCTGGAGTCAAAAGCTTGTGTGATGAATATAAAGATTTTAGCTCTGCAAATGACCATGTATTTGGCTAAGATCATCCTAGACAAGGAAACTTCTCACTCTATTGAAAAATCTATACAATCTCACCATTTAAAAATACATTAAGGACATATTAGCAGAGCATGTGCAAATTCTCCAAAACAGGACATTAATTCAGCCCACCTATGCTGGTTAAAGACTGCAAAACAGTCTTTAATTATGCGATCTTGTTGTGTTTTGTGATGACCAGTGATGTATGATGATCAGTAAGTAGTAAAAATGTGTACAGTTCATTCTTGATATAATTCCACCTCTCCCAGAGACAAGTGAATCTGTCTTATGCTCTGTGAGTTCAGAAACTACTCTAGAGCAGCAAGAGGAGTAAGCAGAATAATGCTGTTACCAGAATGACTGTCCGGTGGCTCCCCCAAGCAGACTGATCCTGGTAACATCTGAAAAATAAGTGGTGAGAACATCAAGATGAACTCTGCAGCTATAAAAGCAGAGACCGCTGATGCTCAGGATGTTGCCTGCTCACGTGTGGCCAAAGACAGAACTGAAATATATGGGATTTTTCCTTATGATCCAGTTCACACAGCGCAGAAGTTAATATTGTTGTATGGCTTCATGGGTCCAGTTCTGCCACTGCGTGTGGTGGGGATTATCAAAGCCAAGACTGTGGCATTGGCCCAGAAAGGCTTGGTTGGAACTGATGCTTGGCAGTCTCTGGGTTGCCATTTGCAACCCTCGTGTCACCCTCGCAGTGCCTGGAAAACCATTCCAGGGCAGGGTCCGAAGGCTTCCCTGGCGTGGTGCATGGGGCACATCTTCATTTTAGCATTTCTCTGGCAGCTGTGACTCAAACACAGAACACCAAAGCATATATCACAACAGCAATATCTGATTACACAGTTCACCATTTCCTGTAAGCCATAGAGGCACCTCATGGCATTTGTTAATCACATAATTACCCGTTTATCCTAACAAAGTGTGAAATGCTAATAACCACTAGCTAACTACACATGCAGGAGAGGCAGGGATAGAAGCCAGCTGTTAAAGACAACACTAGAAATCACTAACTGTAAGCTGCTGGCAACAGAAAAAATTTTTAAAAAAAAGTTTTTTCAAAGCTAAATGATCTGAGTATGTGTATATATATATATATACATACACATATAGGTGTTAGGTTGCTTTGAATAAGCTGATTTGTTAGACCAGTGAGGATGGACTAGGCTACATAAAAGGAAAACTCAGGATACAGAGTTCAACTTGAAGAAAGCTAGTGAAAAAAATATAGGATTTTCAGATTGCAGCCTGCAGTACTTCCACAGCAGCTTCTTCTGTGAACTTTCTAAGTAACCATAAATTTGAAACTAGCTCCTTCCCTCAGTGCCTGCCCTATTTTAAGTATATCTGTTCATTTTAATTCCATGGCTCTATAAGGACCTGCTTGAATTGGTTTAAAAAACATATTTTTGATAAATTCTGAGTATAGTCATAGCCTTCAACCGAGTAGGAAGAACATCATTGCAGTAGCCATGACTGCCCGGTCCATAATCATAACTAAACTTTGGATACCTGGGTATAAAATTTTGTTATGAAAGCGGTATATATGTAGTGCATCAGTTGTCTCGGAGAATATGAATTCTGTCTAGTCTTTTAGCATTTCGTATCTACATTGCAGCAGTACAAATGCGAGGTGAAAAATGGAATCCAACATGCATGTACTGCAGAGAAAGATGTTCCATAAAAACAACTCAGTTTTTCGACAGCGGGATGGAACATATTCCCTTATCATATACTTAGCAAAGCCCATTGAATCCAGAAGCACTGGTAAAACAATTTCTTTTCTAATTCAAAATTTAGTTTATATTCATGCTCTTAGGGGTAAATATGTCTTCTGTTGAAGGATGTGTTGATAACACACCAGTTACACATCTGCAGTTTGGGGGAAGAATGGTACTTTCTAGGCCAGAACGTGAATCTCAGGTGTTAATACTCATTCAGTCTTTCAGCTGTTGCTTAGATTTCTAACCCTTCCAAAAGTGTAATAGCTGAAACTAAAACTAAATTCACAGTTTAATTCCTGGAAATGGTTACTAGGCTATAGTTTTCAAGTAACGAGCTTTCTACAGTTGTGGAACATTGGCTAGCAAGAAGCTAGAGTCAAATCAGAATTGTTTCTTTCTGAGTTACTCACATGGCTCTGGGCCATTATGGGCCTGGCCTTGCACCTGAACTAATAAGTTCCTTGCCAGTCCTTCAGAAACAAAAGTTCTGGAGACCACAGTGCACAAACTCCTTTATGGCTCTTCAGAAACCAACACAGATAAGACAGGACTGATACCAAATCTGAACTAAGAATGCCCATAATGGTATTTATTTTGCTTTTGTTTTTCTATTATTGGGGTTATTCCAGCATGATATTTGCCTATATTTTCACTTCTAAGAATTTTAATGAAAAAGTTCAAATTCACATTTGGAATTTCTATCACTGTCAATGGCAGGTGCTGACTCTAAGGGCTGTTTTGCAAAAGTCTGTTTCAAAAGGCCATTTGAACAATTTAAGTTTCAAAGAAAGGCTGTTCACCTCCTCTCCTCACCTCTGTGTGAACTCGGAAGAAAACAAGAGAACATATTGCCTAGCAGTTACTAAAGTCCTCATTAATTCTGCCTTTCCTGTTCACAGGGAACTGAAAGGCAGTTGCTAATTCAGATGCAGTGCCAGGGTCACAATGTTTCTGGGTGTTGTGGATTATCTGACAACAGATAATTAAGAGTTGCCATTGGTATATTAGAGTTTAAAACCGTAGACTAAAATGAGTGTATTGCAGTAACAGTTACTTTATTTTTGAATAAAAGCTTTTCTTTCTTGATAGTTGAAGCAAGTTCAAGGTTCATCAAAACACCCACATGTTTTAACCAGTAGATTGTTTTGGACAGTACAAATGTTTTAGTATCTATTAATGTTTTATAAAAGAAGGCTCAAAGACATGAATCTGACCCAACAGGATAAAGAAGAAGCTAGATATATAGAACATACTTGATTATAACTGTGAGATAAAAAAGCAAGTTCTTCAGCAGTGTCTGTAGTTAGACCAATTGTCTTTCTGTAGTCTTATATACATCATACATTCAGTTCATTACATTTAATCTTATTAGTTTCTTAGATTCTTCTTCAATACCTTGAATTTGAACACATGGATAAAAGATGAATGGAGTCATTTCTATGATTCTCTTTATGTAAAAGAGAACTGGATCGACTCGTTGCTAAGGTAAGCAGTGCTGAAGTAGTTTGTGTTGACCTCAAAGCTTAAACACAATACCCTGGAGAAAGTTTCCACTGAAAATTCAGTTTGCTTTTAAAGTGTTTCTGCTATTGTTGTCACTCAGAGCACTCACTGTTTTTCATGAGCCTATCATAATCCCTTTGACTTAACCAGAGGCAAGATTCTCTCATAGAAAAGTCCTTTCCCAGCTGTTGTTCATCTCTTTCTCAGTGCCACTGAATGTGGCAGTGTTTCTCAGTGCCACATTTATATTCCAAATACAACTGGAGGGTTCCATTTGTCTTACGGAGTTAGATTCCAACCTCACAAGTCACTTCAACATCTGTGTAACATTAAGTACACAAAAAAAGATGTTTAACTTCCCAGAGCCTGGTTTTATCCTCAGCCTTGTTTATGCAGATGGTCCTAAAACCCTTCTGAGCAAATCACATAAGCAACTAAACAAGCCCTTTCCAAATTATTATTTATTTACACAGTTGCAGCAGCATTTAATGATTTAAATGCTCTAATCTGTTGGGTGTGTCCACACATTGGTTAGGAGATGATACAGCAGCATGAGTGCCCTTGCCAAATGGAGAATTTTCCTGGGGAGAACAGCAGCCATAGCTCAGGTCACACTGCAGCCTATGGTGCCACTTCTTCGCTGTTTTTACCCAGGACTGAATGATTTCTGCTGTCCTTGGCACACCTATGTGGCTGCAATCACTCATCTGCATTGCAGTATAGATTACCACAGATGATGGCAAACACTGTTAGACAAAGCTGTGCTGCAAACTCTGTCAGCTGAAAAAGAGCTCACATCAATTTCTAACCTTCTCATCAAAGTCAGTATTATTAACCCTTTCAAACTCTTTAGATTATGCCAAATTAGCAAATGCAGTGATTTAAATTTGGCTTGCAATGTTTGCAATTCCAGTGAGTTCTACTGGAAGTGCAGGGATATATCTGAGGTCAGAATTTGGCTGAATATATTCCAGTATAGGCATTTCAATCATAAAATATGCTTACAACAATACAGACACAAATACATAAAGATATACAAACACATCCACACACTTTTTATATGTACATATGTATATACATAGATGCTTAATCTATTGCTCATATTTCATGAATATAAAGATTATTGGAGCTGTCCTTCACACTCAGTTAAATTCAATGTAAAGAGCCCACATTATGCCTAGAAGTAAATGCAAGTTATATACGAAAATTCAAGACCATATTTGATTGTTGGGTTTGAAACTTCCTTTGAGGGGTTGAGGATCATTTTAATCATTTCAGTATCTTAAATCCTTTTAAATCTATCTTCTTTTCTTTCTAACATCGAGGAAGTTAATACTGAGTCCCATTTATTTTAATGGAGCAAAGCTATTTTGAGAAGTTATTTTTAAGCCTCATTCCGTGATGACAGTACTAGCTAAGGTAACAGACACAAACATGTTGCTCTAAATTTGTAGTGTCAGCTACTTTTTAATTCAGGGAAAGCTCCCTTGCATGTATAATACTTAAGGGAAGGACACATATGGAGGAAAAATAACTGACATGAAGCTGATACCATAATTAGCCCTGGGATAAGTTACTTGTTTATGTGTTACCCTGAGACTTTACACCTTCCTGTCATTCTTGATAAGAAGTTCCAACATTCATACAAACCCCCCCCAAAAAATGGAATTCTTTTAACTGCCCCACAGGCACCGAATTTTGTTTTGGGGTTTCATTCCTTAATTCTGTCAAATTCCTTATATCTTTCTATTTTTTTTTAATTGGAATTGCAAATTGCATGTGCTGTGAGATTAATCTATGTCTGCTGTGCCAGACAGCAAGAATGATGATACTTAGACCAAAGTTTGTCTGTTGTCTTTCTATTTGTATGTACTTTGCTTGTGACAACTGCTTTTCTGATTTACAGTATTGTCCTGGAAATGTAGCTGCTTATTTAGAAAAACCTATGGCTAATACACCTCTGTAGTCCAAATAAAGTAGATTAGCATCCATCAATTAGTGAAGTATACCTTAATTTGAGAAGCATAATGCAACTATGTCATTGGTATAAATTCATGGCACAATTTTGTTGAAAGGGAATCAGCAGAATGGTTGAGAGCATTTACACCAATGTCAAGCTCAGATAGTGCATTGTAGATGTGCAAAAAAAAGGAAAAAGAGAAAATTAGAGTCTTTTTTTGTTTACAGATGGCAGCCAAAAGTACAGCAAGTGATTGAACAGCTCACAGATAAATTAAATAATTGTACTACCATTGCCAAGACTTCAATGGTCACTCAGCCAAAGGAATTTAATTTGACTGTACCTAAACCTCGTGCCATTCCTATGCCTCTGCCAATACCAGCACTGGAAAAAAGTCAGCCCGTGAGTGTTTTTATTCCTTGTGAGATAATAAGTTTCCTGCATTCTTGGGCACAGTTATAGGATGTGGTTAATAGTTGCTTTCAAAATAATTGTAGAAAATCCACAACCTTTGGCAAATCAACAAGAATAATGCCCTGAGTCAGATCAGAAAAGAATCAGAGAAGATATTCAAATGTCAGTTTTTATAAACTGCGACTGATTTGTTTGTAGATGAGCTCTCACTAAAATAAATGGCAAAGCAATTTTGGTGAAGATGATGTGTACTCTAGGTTTGCAGCTCCTCCTTGAGGGTGGAATATTATTACTTGCTATTTACATTAATGTTGAATCTCCTAAATTAATATTTTTCAGTTTAGACTTATTGCTCACAATCTTTGAGACTAGAATTTGTCTTTGAAAAGGTCAGGTTTCTATTTTACTAATTGTTTAAGATTCTAATTCAGTTGCAGATGTATAAATCTGAGGGGACACCATTGATTTTAAGTTGGGTCACTGGGATAAGGCACTGTCTAACTCTGACTTACTTAATCAAGAATCCAAGATAATCTATATTTAAATACAGTGAGAAGTGAGCTTGGAAGTCACAGTTTTGGGCATTATCTGCGGCCTTGTATTAGCACTTCAGGTTTTAAATAATGCATGTGTCGAATGCTTGTAGAAACCACTTAAATCTTAGGATAGCAGAACCATTTAATGGTAGAGTGTTATACAGTTAATGGGATTTTACATTGAAACAGCTTAATACCAAGCTCTGAAAAACTGCATTTAATAACTACTTAATCAGTATAGGAATGAGTCATATTGCTGTCATTTTAGTATCTTTATGCTGTGCAGCCCCTCTTAAAATAAATTTGCTTTAATGCAGACATATTTACTGAAGTTCTTTTGTGTTGTTAGTATTATATTAAATGCGGCTTATATTCTGAGCAAGACTGCTAATTTAAAAGCTTGTGTGAATCTCAGGCCATTAGCATAGCAGTGACATATGTTGTGCTCATTTCTGCACCTATCTTAGCAAATTAAGTTTCACTTTAATTTGCCATATTGTTGCCAACATCACCATTTTAGATCCTGAACTTTTGGCAGAGACTGAAAAGACAGCCCAGATGGGAAAAATGAGGTAGGAAAGTGAGAGCAGACCATACTTTTGGCTACTGCATAGTAGGGAGCTGTATGTAATTGGGATGAATGCACAAAAATAAGGCTTGTCCTGATTATATCCCCTAATCTCCTGTAGAATATTTTCTTTCATTTTCTCATGACATTGTCACACTTTTGACATATCTTTTTCTTCTCAAGATTCTCACTCATCTGCCAAAGAGCCTGTCATGTAGCACATGAGCACAGAATATTGCAGTCACAATCACTAGAGGCATAGTTGCTACTGGACTTTGAAACAACTGTGTGATTTAATATGGAGGTGTTTGGATTATGAGCAATGACTGCTGGTTCCATTCCTATGTGAAATTCATTCATTTTGATGAATAGAAGTATTGCTTTAAGTGGGTCTTCCTGCTGGGTTACCTTGTATGCTGCAGTAGAGGTAATATGCAGAGTAGGATGAAAGGGCTCTCATAGCTCGGGTTCGTAGAGCTCCTCTCCCGTAAACTAGCACGTGCTGCCTTCACAGGAGGGGGCTGCAGAAGTGGCTCGTTGCACAGGACGGGACGGTTGCCCTGCTCAGTGATCTGTATTGAGCTGGGTCCCTTCACTGACTTGTGTTCCTTGCGGAAGGTTGTGATCATCAAGGGTCACTCGTCAGGGGGGAGGCACCTTTCCATTGATGTTAGACTGCCCTCCATGAAATACATTATTTCACTGAGAAATTTAATAATGAAACCCCTTGATCTAAAGTATACAGTCTCTTCAGCGTGCTTTGCACGCAAGCATGTGGGTGAGCACACAGACACACTCACAAATACAATTCTTCAACACTTGAGCTTGGAATTTGCAAAGGAAGCAAAGGGAGACAGGTGCTTCAATGTGATAACATGCAAATGGATTTGGACACCTTTTGACTCCCTTGGATATCTTGGCCTTACATTGCAACAAAATCCATCCCTTGAATATCAGCGCTGTAATAGAATAATAAGGTTATGCAATTATTTTATTTTTAGAGTTTCTAAAAAGCTATAATGTCATTAAAAATGATATCCCCTCTGAGATATGTTATTGTAACTCCAGTCAATTTTAGTGGATGCTTTAGGTATTTTCCTTATTATTTTATCTGTGCTTCATGGGTGGAGTTGCTTCTTTGTTCAAAATAATTACATGTGTGAAATGGCCAATAAAGAGAATTTTGTTTTCAAGTATATAGATAATGGTTTAACTTTATGATCTTGTTATGTATAAAAAGAGAAGCTCTTATTACATTAAGCATTGCATTAGCCTGCCACTGTCTATCAGACAGCCGTATTTAAATATATATATATATACATGAGTGATCACTACCAAAATTCAAAGTGATTATTCATCAGTTAGTTTGCATATTTTCCCTCTCATGCCTCTTCTTGAAGTTCACGTTCTGTGGGCATTGTAAAACTGTCTCCGCTCATCCCATATGGGCATTTCTACTTGCATGCATTTTGGTGTGATTAAATAAAATTGAGTGAATTTCTTAGAAATCACTTGTCACTCTCTGGGTATTTACTACTTTATGCCCTGAAGGCACTGGTGTATGTTAAGGAGGTTGCATTGCAGGACCCGGGCTGTGTCAGGGGCTGTTTGAAAGGCCTGTAGGTCGTGCCATTTTGCTCTTCCTCAAGGTCCTGTGGTGCCTATTTGGGCCTATTTAGGCATTGCCTAAATAAACTTGTAGTATAAGGAGATTTAGAAAGCATAAGTGAGCCTGAGCACGGATTGAAGGGGAGAAGCAAGCATGAAACCTTTTATTCTCAGCCCTTTTTTGTTCATGTTGCTATTTAGTGGGTACAGTTAGGCCTTTCTGATCTCTCTACTGCTGGAATTTACAGTTTATTTAGTGATTTTTTCATCCTCTTCTACCCAGCATCTATAAGGAGATTTATAAAGGGTAATTGCTGTATTGTCTATCTGTCTGTCGGAGTGGTACTTGTTATCACCATGGTATCTGAGGGCTAAATTACAAGGCTAGGATTATTTCTGAAATAAAGCTGCCTGAAAAGTCTCCTCCTTAAATTACACAGAATAAGCATAGCAGTTTCTGAGGGGAGAGAAATTTTCAGCTTACCCTGGCAGATGAGCACCGTTTTGCAGGTAAAGCACATGACTAGGAAGAACAGAGAAATACACTGATACTCGCTGCTCGTGCAACTCTTTGCAAGTCCTCTGGGCTCTAATTTCTCCATCCATAAAAGCATAATAAAAATTCTTAGGTACTGCTGGGAAACACTTTCACTTCTACCTCACTTAAAAAACTCCCAGCACTACTTGCACAGTCTCACTAGTGCATTTAATTGCTGGCTTTTTCTGTGCGTTTGTTTGCTTGTCGATAACGATGTCAGAGGGCAAAGGCAGTGGAAAGTGTATCAGGTACGTGAGTATTTCCAAACATAGCACTTTATATAGCCTGAGAAAACTAAATGGGATCCGCTTTTCCCTAACCTGACCTTCTGTACAATAATGATTGTAGATTTTTCCCAGGATTTCTTGAATTATTTCTGTAGTTTTTAATTGAGCTAGCACATTTTTAGCAAGATAAATATGTAAGTAGAAGTCCTGTAAACTGGCAGACTGTCTCACCCACACAAGGAAGAGACATCCAGTCTTATTTTCAGACTTTACTTCTGGACAAAATTTATTGATCAGGTATAAGAGCTATGAGTTAAGACACAAAAAAGAGCTTTTTGCTTGACAGCAGATACTGAAATGCCCCTGAAGACTCAGCCTAACTCAACATCCCGCATTCCCTGTTCCCCGATGCCCCTGCTGGGCCATAAGACAGCCAGGCTGTCACTTTTTCCTGGCTGTTTTATCCAAATTGCTCTCTGACTTGGGAGCACTTTCACAGCACTGTGAATAGCGCTCGGAGGCCCTCTCAGTCATCTACCACCAAATATTTAATTTACATCTCCAGTGATTCCCCCTTCACAGGAATATAAGGGCAGCCACCATGAGCCAGGGAAAAAAAAAATTTGCCCAATTTCCTTTCTCCACTAGTGGCAGAACATGATACCTAGGAGGAGTACAAGGACAGGACAAGCCTCTTTGCTGCTTTATCCAGCTTCCTTCGCAGCTTCCAGCCTCCAACCAAAGGCTTCCTGAGCTGCAGGGAGCTTCCCAGGCACATTAATAACCCTCAGAAAGGGTCTGCTTCCTGAGCTGCAGGAACATCTGTAAACTTGTAGCTACTACAACGCGCAGTGCCCACACTCCACAGCTTAGCTTCATTCACCTGCCAGGGCCAGGAAACTGAACTTAGTGAACTTCATGCCAAACACAGCATTTCCCCTTTCCAGCAACTTTTCCCTTCAGTAAGACCTATAGGTTTTATCTTTAGCCTTTCTTGTACTAGTTCCAGATTTTTTTTTCTTTCTAGTGTCTTATTTGGGGTTTGCGTTACATTGGATAGCCTGAAAAGCCTGGACAATCCCAACTGACTGGAATCTGTGCATATTTTCTGTACTGGTACAAATAGAAAGGAATATTTTAAAAAATAACCTTACCTATTTTACAGTATAGGTGAATGTGATTATCTCCACAAGCATGAGTCATTTGGCATGTTTTATATCACGTATTATGAAGTTTATTGCCTTTTAATATAGGTTCCTCGAAGTACCTACAAAACCCCAAAGGAAAAAAAGCTGCTAGAGGAAATCAAAATACAAAATCGCCGAAAAGCAGAAGTAAGTGTATTATATTCTTATTCTAGTCTTTCTTTGTTCCAAACTCCTTGTTTTGGAATACATTCCAGTTTTCAGAAATCTTGCTCCAGAAACCTGGAGCAAATTTGCTTTTGAGGCTAATAGAGACTCTTTCTCTAGAGTGATGGAGTCGGTGTCCTCTGTTCTGTTCTATCACCCTTTGTCCATTGTTCTTATTTTAATACTAATTGTTTGAGACAAAGTCCACCTTTTATTCACAGTATAAATAGTGTGTGAGAAATTTTGCAAGTAAACCTGTAAGATGGGAGAAACTCGATTACTTTCTTCTGTTCACAGGCTTGAAATTGTTTGGTGGCTCTTTAACTCCTGCAGGAGTGGATATTAAGGCATTCACTTAATAATTAAAGCTTCAAAATTCAAAATATGTTCAACATTTGTTTTATTTTCTGTATTAACTGATAAATAACCACAAATCATCATCCACTACTGAAAGATCATCAGACTCTGAGTTCTTGCAGACTCTTCACTCTTTCTCTTAGCAGACTGAGAGTGGGAAGTCATGGTTTGTAAAGAAGGAGAATACATGCTCTGTATGTTAAAAGAGCAGGAGAAGGGAGGGTCTAGAAAGTGTCCTCATACAAAGAAACAGATCTAGTTATTTGAATTGATCCTAACTTTGATCTGAATCCCTGCTATACCTCCTGTTATAGGTAAAGCAGACTGCTGTCGTCTTCTTGAAATGAAATTAATTAAATGTCAGGTCCCACTTCTTTCCTGCTTCTCACACTGTCATCACCATATCCAATCCAGTCACACTATAAGCTTCATAAAACACATGCGATTTGACTTTCTATCTTCACTTTCCCACCTCCGTTCTGCAAATGCCTTACTCTAGCTTTCGTTAGCTCGTGCAAGACCATTTATCACGTTTCTGGACTATTCTCATGTCCTTGTGAAAGGAGCATTGAATTCTGCTCCCAAGTTGTAGTAAATACTTTAATGCCTGATATATTCTCAGGGGGTACACTTTGCAGTGTTCTTTCAGAGGTCTATCTCACTGGCTATGCTTGATACTTCATTATCAAACCATTCTGCATTATTTTTTATCCTTTTATTATTTCCACATTATGCAGAAAGCACTTGCTTATTTGTCTGTATCCTTATTTGTATGTACAAACTTCTTAGAAACATGAGAAAAGTACGATAACACAATGCCTGATTGTCAAAAATCTGACAACTATAAAATGTAACCACCACTCACATTCTTCAGTGAAGGAAAAGCATGAACAAAGGGAACAAAGCAAAACCACCACAGAAATTATAGCTGCAATAATAGCATTTTTTTTCATCTCTGGAATGTCATAAAGGCATCCGAAGCATTCACAGAGGTCAATTCCCTAGATTATTATTCGGCTAAACAAGAAAAGTCCTAAAAGAAATCTGCAGTAAGAGCTGTTGTTTGTTTCTTTGCATTTTTGGAAAAGCAGTGACTGCCACTGTACACGTCATGACGGAACAACTCCAGGAAGGCATGAGAGAACACTGGAAGCTGTACTCTAGTGAGCCTATGGAAGCACTGATGTTATGGACAGCTCCTGTCAGGAATTCCATTGGAAAACCTACTCTCTGATTCACACTTTAGTATTTTTCTTTACAATCAAAAGAAAGATTTAAAAAAGGCAAAAAAAAAAAAAAAACATAGAAATTTGCAGACTGGCTGCCTATGCTTCCCCCTTTAAAATGTTGGAGTGAAGTTACTACTGTGGATGTACCAATCCTTGGTACTCAGAGCATCCTCTAATGCACCCCAAAAAAACCCCACCACCACCAACAGAAGTGTTTGTCACATATACTGAAACAGTTACTGTCTATGATACTATGTGCCATAAATAATTATGATGCTTTTAACTCAAATTCTAAATGAGTAATGTGTTTCCTAACCTATCAAAGAGACTGATGCTCTATGCAAAGAGTACAACCACGTAGAACTATTTAGAAAATCTTGTCTGCTGCAAATCTTTCACCAGGAATGAAAATTCATATCAATATGAATTCTAGACTTCATTCACCAGAAACAAATTAGTGCACTGGTCGGGACTGCAGGGCTTTTTCAGATGGAAAATTCTTAGTAGATAATTCAAATGTACTGTATTTTTATGCTACTGACTGCAGGATCTGCTTCTGAAAGCAAATGTGAACCAGTTCAGGTGTGCAACTATGAAGCTTGAAAAGGAAAGGGTATGTAAAAAATACTTCTAATGTTCTATAGATAGTATTTAGTAGTCAAACAAAACACCACTATTACGTTTTTGTCATAATTTTAGCTAATAATTCTATGGTAATCAAAAAAAATCTTGGCAATAACTTTATATTTGGACCTACTTTTGTGTCATTTGCTACTAAATATTCCCACTGAGCTGAGTGTACATAACAAGATTTTGAGGATATAACTATTGCAAAATATATCCCCTGTGTTCAGCTTTGTTACACTAGAAGCATATTGTAGATACATGCCTTTTTAGTAAAGAACTACTAGTTTTTGCTGAGTATTTGCAAATCTATCTTTGAAATGAAATAATATTTTGAAGAATTGAATTGCAGAATACACCTGACAGTATGAAGAGTAAGCCAGCATTCCAGGCTCAAAAGATCCAAAGCAGGGTGAGTAACATTTAAGGTACAGTTGTCAGATGTACTTGAAGGCTTTGGAGTAAAAAACACACATGCAAATTCTATGTTGATACAAACTCTACTGGAGTCTATAATTTTATATTAGGTTCTATGGCCAGGAGAACTGAATGAATTTTGTCTGTGGTTCATAAATTTTGGCTTACGGGCCTATGACAATCCACAGGGAGATGCTCAGGAGGCAGTAGAAGTGCAACTACTCCATGAGGCAAGACAAGCGAGGAGTCAAGGGTAACCAAAGAGCAGGTCAGGATGTAGGTCCTCAGTATGTGAACAGGTCAGGTTGGTGGTAGGGATGGTTTGTTTGGATAACCCAGTGATTATCAAACAAAGCAGGGTAATGGGAGAGGTCCGTGACCTGTGAGGTTACCCCGGAAGTCCAATCTGGAGACAGGGCTACAATGTAATTCCGGGGCCATGCTGGAAGTCCAGTCCGGACAGTGGGAGACACAACTGGAGAGGTGATGAGGAGCAGAACTCCCTCCAGCATTACATAGGCAAGGACTGAGGCCCAGACCTGAGCTTAAATGGGGCTCAGGTACCAGTGGGTAGAGGAGGTGGGTGGAGGTCTCAGGTGAGACTTATATCTCTAAATGCCCATTTCAAACTGAGATCCTAAAGAATTAATAGCAATGATTCCAGAAATGACTTCCTGATATTCAGTACACATTTTGTAAGTTTTATCTTGTTTCCTTTAGGCATGTACTCAAGTCATAAAACTGACTATACTGATTGCTTCTTTGCTATGATTTGCAAGGGTCAGAGCACTGTGAACATGGAAATGACTACTCACCCATACTGGTATAGAGCACAGGAAAACTCATGCTGGTATTTCTGCAATTACTGTGCTACAGATAATCTTCAGTCTTACATCATTCAATCTGTCACTTTTCATTTGTATCAAGTTCATACCAGAATAATTGAAAGCAGAAGCTGTGCTTGTATTGTGCCCTCAAACACTTTGTGTGCTGATCTATCTACTCTTTAAAGCTGTGAATTTGGGCATAGCTCATTCACACTTTGGAGAGGCTTATTCCCTGCTTGGGATACACAGGCCAGTGTATGTCCAGGTGCTTTTAAATTACTGGAAAGCAGTAAGATCCCAGCTCCCTCCACACTCAAAGGAGAAAAAAAATGGGAAACATTTACACAATTAGTATGAACACACATGGCCTGTAATTATGTGATCTTGGTTCAAGTCTATGAATATTCCGCTTCCTTTCCTGATAATCTGAAATATTGAAAATAGCTGCTGGTTGGTGAGAATCAAGCCATCTGCCTAAACTGTATAAAGAAAAATAAGGATTTAGTATCTTATTGCACTGATCAGAGGCTTTTAATATTTGCTAGTATCTTCTCTAGGAATATGATCAATTTTATCTCACCTAACAAATTTGTCTCAAAGGCTGGCTAGGTGATATTCAGACGGCTGCTATAACAAGCTTAGACAGGCATATTCTTCAGGAGTTTTAAAATAGAAAAATTCCTGTTGTCTTCCCTCTTGAGCAACTCTGTCTCTGAGCAGACAAGTTAAAAGGCCTAAGAAAAAGGTGTTTATCCAAGATGAATAAATCGGGTTATAATCCTTCCTCAAAATAATGAAATTATATAATATTTTAACCAACTAGTATTTTCATTTCCCTATTTATTAAAATATCCACACTATTATATACACATTTTCTCATTTCAATCAGGCACATTTGTTATGTGCAGCCAAATATTATTTCTTAGTGCTGTAACAAAAATCCTTGTTCATCCTTTTTCACTGCAATCATAAGACGATACAGATGCCTCATTATTCTGGTTCATTCTGGTTCTTGCTCATATAAGGCCTTACTCTCTACATATTTATTGGTTTTTAGGAGCTATCATGTGTTCATAGGTGGAAAGAGT